TGGATACTTTGTTGGATCAAATTTTTAAGTGAAGCACTCAGCTGACTGATAAACTTATTGAATTCATTAGGAGGATCAGGGTTTCCAAACTGAAATATAGATCCCGAACAGAAGCTGGTCTGGTATTCTCTACGAATAGGAGGAAAATTAGGAGATGTATCACAATTTTTTCTTTTTTTGGGGGGACTAACTGTAGGGGAGGATATATGCTTGTGAGTATTATTATTTTTGTAAGCAGTGTTAGAATTCGAAGGTTTAGCAGAAGAGCTTTTTAATGGAGGGAAATCGGTGTCACAGGTAGTTAAGGGTGCAAATTTGTTTTTTTGAACTAAACTGGAATAACTTGGATTTTCAATAGCTTTTTCAGCTTCTTTAAACGAAATATTCAAGTTAGCCATAGCTTCTTTAGTTTTCTTTTGTTTCAAATATTCGGGGCATTCTTTAAAAATTGACTCGTGGTTATTATTTTTACAAAAAACGCAAAATGCAATACATTGATCAGGGCAACCAATTTTTCCTTCATTGCCGCATTTTTTACATCTTTTTTGTGACTTACATTGGGTGGTTGAATGACCATATCGAAGACAATTAAAACATTGCATAACCGGACTAACATATATTTCAACTGGACATCTAACTTTATTAATGTAAATATATTGGGGAATTAATTTACCCTCAAAGCTAATTATGACCATTTGTCTAGGAACTCTTTCAGATATACCATTATTTTGAACTAATCTAGTCATTCTATAAACTTTTTTAATAGGAATATTAGACTTAATAGTGTTGAGCAATGCATTCTCACTTAAAGTAGTATCCACTCCACGAACGAGACCTTTTTTTTCTGTTAAATAATTTGGAATATATGCTATTAAATTATTTTTTTCAAAAAAATCTTCTGTAACTAACTTATTAGCTACAGCACCTGAATCTACTTGGATTTTGATACGGTTTTTACCTACACTAACAATTTCTATAATATTTTTATCATAATTGGATAATGAAAGTAGTTTCTCTCCAAGTTTCATTGGATGCAAACGACCTAAATTTAAATTAATATGTTGAACAAATATAAAAAAAGGACCATTATCACTAGAACTAAATCGATTAGCTGAGTTAAATACCTGATTTTTCTGAATATTTGTTTTAGGCGAAGTTGAACTCAAGTTTTTGCTATCAATATTGTTTTTAATATCATTCCTATCTCTAAATTCAATGTCCTCTACACCAGGATCTGGTGGATCCTTCCCAGAGATACCATTTTTGCCCGCGGACATGACGGGGCACGACGTTTAACAAAAAAATTAATAAAAAATTTCTACTTACAGTACAGTTGACAGAATACCAGAACTTAAAATATAAAGCAAAAAAAAACAAAAACGCTAAACACCCTGTGTTATATCTTGAAATACACTTCTGCACTTCACAAGAGATCGAAATCTAATAAAAAAAAGACTTTAGAACTACTTAAATATTTAAATTTTCCCGAGGAACTCTTAAACGCGTCCAAACACTTTGACAGTTATTTGACAGATGATTGCTAAAATATTTAAAGTAAACTTATCTCGATATTTAATCATCTTTGTTAACTTGTTATTGAACTAGAGTGGGAAGAACAATTATTTATTTCTGGAAAACTTGAAGATTTTTTTCTAAAAACTAAATTAAAAAAAAAATAATATATTTTTCCGTTATCCATTTCAATATCAGATTACTCAACGAATGTTATTCTTTTAAAAGTGTTTTTACACTTACTGAAGAATCATCGAAGGGAAACATAATTGGGATCTAACATTTCAACATTTCATCAGAAGCTGTAGATGGAGTTTATAAAAAATTATATAAGTACATACTGAAGAGTTTCCACACTATAATAATTATTTGGTTTACTTAACCACCGTCGTTTAGTCTCTGATTTATATGTGGAGGAGGAGTAGGTAAACCACCGTAATGTAGTTTTTGACGTTATATTTTGGAATAGCGGAAAGATTTATTTTGTTAGTTTAATATTGGAGGAGGTATTTATAGTAATTTTAGACGGAAGACCATTTGGTATTAATTTGGTTATTGTATAAAAAAATTCTAATGTTTTTATTTTCAATACATTATATGAAGGTGGTAAATATTTAAATATACACGGAATAAACTTTTAAAGATATTTCACTCCTTTCTGGAAGTACGACTTATAATAAACCAGCATTTTGAAAAAAGAGGAGCGTATAGCCGGGACGTGTAATATATATATTATATAAGATATATATTTATATACTATATATATATTATATATATATATATATACATTTATATATTTTATATTTATATATATATATATATATATATATATATATATATATATGAAATAACGAGAAGTCGAGAGTGGACCCTCTCTGATAGCCAATTAGCGTGAACCGCAAATTCAATAGCCTCTTGCTAAGAGGCTTTCAACAGACGCTAGTAGTATCATTTTTACTTCTGACATGCATCTACGATTCCCTTTGAAAATTACCATCTTTTTTCTACTTTAACGTAGAGAAAGGACCGTTTTAAATGAAAGTAAAAGCATTGCATTTTCATTTCGAATAGGAACTTCCACCATAGCCCCCGACACGTGTTTCGGGTTATTCCAAGCCCATCGTCCAGGAGCTCTTTGTGGAAAGTTTCAACCGAAACATGAACTGCAGTCTAGTAGTGGCGATTATAACTAAAATAAATAGCCAGGGGGGACGCTAGCAGCGACACTCTATAGGAAATATATATATATATATTTATATATTAGATATATAATATCTATATATATATCTTATACTATATATTATATATATATATATTATAATATTTATATATATATATATAAATATATACAGTATATTATATATCTATATATATATATTATATATATATATATATATATATAAATAGCATTATATATATATATATATATATACTATATAATATAATATATATATATATTTTATATTAAATTGAAATTTTCTAGATTACAAAAAATACAAAAAAGGTGCTACTATAGTATGCGGTCTACCTTCGAGGGTGCGGTTCACCTGAAGGATTTGTACAAAATTATGAAATGCAAAAAATCTTTTGTAGAAAAAATATTTATTTACAAGTAATACACATTTGACAGCCAATTAATAAACTTTTGTAAATCTACCAGTCCTATTTTATTTGAAAAGAGGGGTTGATCTTTACGCAAACCCTGCTACAGTTAAACAAAATGTTAAACAAATTTCTACTGCATATTTCACAAATTTGTTTTTGTTTCATGTCCTTTTTTGTTGGGCATATGTGACACCCTCCTCTTGTTAAACCTGTAGGTTTTTCTAGTTTTTGCTTTTTAGTGTGTGGTTCAACTTCCTGTAAGCATTTTTCAATAAACTGTTCTGTTTCCCATTGCAGTCCTCTTAAATTTCTTCTCAATATTTGTCCAAGTAACAAATGAGGCTACCCCTTCTTCTTTAAGCGCCGTCTCCCAATCGGAGGTTGGATATCATCATCACTATCTTTACTTTATCTACTGCTGCTCTAAAGAGTTCTATAGAACTGCATTTAAACCAGTCACTTAAATTCTTCAACCATGACACTCTCCTTCCTCCTATACTCCTTCCTCCTCCTACCTTTCCCTGTAATATCAGCCTTAGCAGTTCATATCGCCTGTCCCCTCATTACGTGTCCCAAATATTGTAACTTTCTTATTTTTATTGTGTTTATTATTTCGCATTCTTTGCCCATTTCTCGCAATACTTCCATGTTAGTTTTCTTCTGTGTCCATGCTATTCTAATCATTCTCCTGTAACACCACATTTCAAAGGACTGTAAATTATTTATGTGTTCTTTCTTCAATGTCCAGCTTTCAAGTCCATATTGCAGTATCGCAAACACTTAGCATCTCAGTGCTCTCACTCTCAGTTCTAATCTAAGATCTTTGTTGCAGCGAATTGTTTTCATTTTTACAAACGCATTTCTTGCTATTTCTATCCTAGCTCTTATTTCGGTTGTTTGATCATTATTGTCTGAAATCAAGGTTCCTATGTATTTGTATTTATCAACCCTTTCTATCGGTACATTTCCCAAACGTATGTTTGTTGGTATCTTTGTTTTCTTTGTTATTATCATGTATTTGGTCTTTTTGATATTCAGTTTTAGTCCATATTTTTCACAGAAACTGTTTGTTTTGTTCATCAACAATTGGAGTGAGGCTACCCCAGCCACGTCTAAAATATTCATAAAAAATACAAAAGGCCAACGGTTAGTTCGTCGTTTGCACATATATTTATGAACCATTAGGTCTAGCGTATCGATACCACATTTTGTACCATTATAATAAAGTATCATATCTGGTTTTTTGTCAACATCATCTGCACAGTAAGCATTGTTATGCATGATAGACAGGACTAGGACACTTCTTTGTTTTTTCGGAACGTAAGAAACAAGAGGTACTTCTGGAGTGAATCCGAAAATTAAATATTTCTCTAAAAGGTCCTTGTTTGGTAGAAATTTCGAGGAACAAATATCTTATTTTTTTTTCACTCTGCTCGCAAGAGTTAGTGAATTTGCCAGTAATTCATGTGTAAGAGCAAGATCGGTGAAATAACAGATGAATAATTAGTCATTTGTAGGGTGCTTCTAATTAATGTATTTGCCCTAAACTCATTTAGAAATTACTTTGATATTTTTGCAAATATTTTATTAATATTTACCTCTCTAATAAGTTAACTACAAATTCTTCTTCTATTTTCTGATATTTTATTCGTTTATTAATTATTGATATTAAATAAACTGGTCTTTTTCTTCATGTGCTTATAGATTTCTACATAATTGCAATTATCCTTTTCAATATCTGTTTTTATAACATTAAAGTACCCAAAAATGCAAATAGATTCCGAATAAGAAAAATAGTTCATACAATAAATGGTTTGTTATCTTAATATGATTAAATTTTCAGAGGTACTCAAGTTTTATAATAGAAACAGTATAAAAGTTAATTTTATTCAATGTTTACCATTAACTTTTAAAAATGTTCTCAAAGATAGTATTATTAATAGCAGCTTCATTGTGCGTTTCGTGCAGTGTGCAGGTAGGGTTTATTATTAATTTTTTGAAGTATAAGATATACATTTTATTTTAAAGGTTAAATGTATAACTTAAAAGTTTTACCCAAAAGCCCACCAGCGATGGTGTATATAATATAATATATATATATATTATATATATATATATATATATATATATATATATATATATATAATATATATATATATATATGTTTTAATTTTTTTAGGATTCAGATTTAACTCTGACTCTGTTTTACGAAGGATTGTGTCCAGATTGCCATGTTTTTATTCTGGAACAACTATATCCTGGATACCAACAATTGGGAGACAGCTTTAAACTAGATTTAGTACCGTATGGATTTGAGGTGAGTTAAAATAAGTATTGGGTAGTAATCTTATTATCACATATATACATAATATTATTAAATAATCGGTCTCCATAAACAATCAACAATATATCTTCCGGAACTGTATAAAGGTCTTTTTAAACCTTAACCACTGACATGCGGTATGCCATACCGAGCCGAAAATATATTTTGTTGTAAAACGTGTTTTATAAAAGATTCTTAGAACACCATCTGTGTACCTTCAAGTGGGGTTTAATTGTACCTGCTCTCAACTGCTGCAGTTTTAGTACACGTTTAGTCTTTGAGCTACGTTGACATAAAGTTTTCTTGCGGTATCAAGTACCGCATGTCAGTATTTACGTTTCTATAGTTAAAAGCAGTGTAGTGTATGCTTTTGCTGTTAGTATGGGAAGTTCATCAGTTGTTCTAAATTTAGCCGCAAAACTGTAAAGCTTTCAGATGATGATTTTGAGGCTGTTTTATCTCAATGGGCTGACGAAGTACCTAGTGATTTAGAATATTTTAGTGATAGTGATGTTGACGATGCAAGCGAAGAAGTATGTATTGAAAGTTCACACGACACCGGAAGTGAGCAGTCGGAAAGTTCTGAAGACGAATATCATTTAAATGATAATGGTAAGTCATATTTTATGGCAAAAATCGTTAGTGGTCTACTACAGCACCCTCGAAAAATGTAAGAACTCCGTTACACAACCTTGTAACAAAAGTACCAGCTGTGCGGTCCAGAGATGTAAGAAACGAAACTTCATCATTTTTTTTAAATTTTCTTATTTCTGAGGATATAATACAAGAAATACGTAAATGGACAAATAATAAATTACGTGCAATTCGTGAAAACTAAAAAACGAATGAATATACCAGAACTAAATGAAATTGATGAAATAGAACTAAAAGCCTTTTTGGATTGCTTTTATACTCATCAGCGTACAAATCCAATGACGAAGATATAAATTCTATATTTGCTACAGATGGCAGTGGTAGAGATATATTCAAATGTGTTATGTCAAAAGAAAGATTTGCAATATTTCTAAAATGTTTACGTTTTGATAACTCTCTGGATAGAGAAGAAAGAAAAAAGATAGATCCAACAGCAGCCATTAGTAACATATTTAATATATTCATATCAAATTGTCAAAAACTGTATTCCGTAGGCACATGTGTTTGTATTGATGAAATGTTGGTCGGCTTTAGGGGAAGGTGTAGGTTTAAAATGTATATGCTTAATAAGCCTGTGAAACACTAACGGAACTGGGTTATCTGAGGAAGAAAAGAAGATGAATAAACCAACTCAATCTGATTCTTCGGCTTGCTAAACCTATTTATGGAACTAACCGTAATATCACAGCTGATAATTGGTTTAGTTCTATAGAATTAGTAAAGCAGTTAGAAGTAAAGAAGTTAACGTATGTGGGAACCCTCAAGAAAAAATAAACGGGAAATCCCTCCGGAATTCCAGCCACATCGATGTAGGCAAGTAAATTCAACTACTTACGGATTTACGAAAAGTTTATCCCTAATTTCCCATGTGCCAAAAAAATCGAGGGCTGTTTTACTTATTTCTTCGATGCACCATTCAATAGGCACGGATCAGATTACTGGAAAACCAGAAATTATAGCTCATTATAATCGTACGAAAGGAGGTGTCGATACTTTAGATGCCAAGTGTGCCAAATATTCTGTAAAACGTCGTTCTCGCCGATGGCCACTTACTATTTTTTACTGCATCATTGATATAGCTGCTGTTAATTCGCATGTTGTGTACCAATCACTACAAGAAGATAATATGGAAAGGCTAAACTACACAAAGGAGTTGGCGAAACAATTAGTTTTACCTCATCTACAAAGAAGACTCGAAAATCCCAGAATCCCGAGAGAATTATTATATGGTATTGAACGAATACTAGGACAAAAACGCCAAAAAGAAGCAGATTTTGAAGAAAGGCTTGAGAAAAAGAAGACGTGTTACTTATGCCCAAGTGCATTAAAGCGAAAGACTTTTTATGTGTGCTTTTCTTGTGGAAAACCAGTGTGCTTACAGTGTACAAAGAAAAATTGCGGACCTTGCGCGCAAAATGACTAGTTATTTTATTGTAATTTTTGGTTATTGTCAGAATTTTGTATTTTAGTTTCTCATTAAATTTAAATCATTAGTCTGTTTCTTTTAACATTATTTTACCATTTGTTAGTCACAAGTAATCAATTTTTCTTGTAATTTAGTTTATAAACGATTTTGTAGTAACGTCACACCATTTTTTTAAATATTATGCATGCATTCATAATATTCTTGAAAAAGTAAAGTTTATTTTACTTGTAGCAGTATATTATGCTACAGCAATGTGAAGAATCATTCGTAGTTGATATAAAAAACAAATACAGTGATATAAGATAAATTCATATTAAAAACAAAGGAGAATAGGCAACGGTATGACATACCGCATGTCAGAGTCTACGTCCTGAAACATCCACGTCAGTAGTTAAGGGTTAAACTTTAATGGTTGTTAAATAAGTACTTAATATGTTTATTTAAAAAAATTTCTAAACAGGGTACCTATCGTCTCTTCGGCTGAGGACTGGTGTGAGGCAATTAAATTTTACGACTTTTTCCGTCTGGAAATGTAGGAGTATCGAATATTGTATTATTATTGTTATAATTGCGAAGATATAATAGTCAGTCGAATTTGTACCACCAAAGAAAACTGTATTAAATAAAACTTTAAAGTCACATAATATGTGTATTTTCATACACGTATTAAAGTAATTTTAAATAAGTAATTTTTTTGTACTAGAAATTTAATTTTGTATTTTTTTGAACCCGGAATCTTTTGCAAAAAATAACCGTGGGACATTCCTGGCAAGTGCATAATTTAACATAAATTATTAAAACTCAGTTAATATTAATGGTAAGAGCATAATTTAACATAAATTATTAAAACTCGGTTAATATTAAAGTTTTATTGTTCTTTTGCTTCTTGATTGCACATATCCCACAATTTAGTTACTATTTACATTCGTACCTTTTTATTGCCTTTAGTTAATCCATAATTATATTTCAATCACCTTCTTTCATTCCGTCACTGGTAATCTGGGTATGTTGTTTGGTAATGTCATGGATTCCGTAACTTTCTCTTGTAGACGTATTCTCGACTCGCACTAGTTTTCTTTGAGCAGTTTGTAGGTGAAATAAAGATCAACATGATCTTTATGATCCAAAACTTTTGACCATGCAGATATTTGTAAAAATGTTAACAGGCCTTTTTTGTATTTTGATACTACTTTGGATTTAATTTTAAATAAGCTGAACGATATTAATGTAAAACTTCCCTCGGTATTTGAAATGCTTATTAAATAATTTTTAACTACAATTACGTCATTCAAATAGACCAAACTCGTTAGCCACGTCAGTCATCTCAAAACTGTCTCCATTAGTATCTCAAATGTAGCAGGAGCAATAGATTACAAGTAATAACTATTAATTGCCAGTAACCTAATTCTATCCAATATGCAGCTTTATCTCGCTCAGCTGCTATCATTCCTACATGCCGATATCTACGTAGAGAATCAACATGATTCTAAGTGAGTATCCAATGTATCGTCTATTTTTGGCAAGACGTATATACTTTTTTTGTCATCACTTTGAGCTGGTAGAGCTAGTAGTAGTTAAAACAAAAACACGTGGAATAAATTTTTATTATTTACCAGAACTACAGGTGAGGCTCATAGATTAATGGATGGTTCAATGATTGTTTGTTTGTCCATATCTCTAACATTTTTTTCAGCTTTATCCCGTTTCGCAAACAGTAGTTTTTCTGGTTTTTGTATGACTGACTGAGTCTGACCATATCCGGTATTGGTTTTATAGGTTATTATGCTTGTTTTACATTTATCTCTTGTGTCTGTGGCAATAACGTCTTGAAATTTTGCCAACATAAAAAAATTCTACCTGAATTTTTATGTTTATTTATTATCAAGATCTGGGCATGTATTAATAACTTGTCAGCCTTAGTTAAGGAGCAAATCGCCGCAACAGGAACACAATAGTCTACAAAGTTCTTTTACCTAATTTGATATAAATTACCTCCATGTTTATGACTTTTACAGGGGGCAGGAGACTAGTACCCTTACAAGAGCTTTTGATGATAAAAATCATTTAACATTTACGTCTTCGATCAACCCATTGTAATTTTGGAATCAGTTAGCAAATTATCTGATTAATTAACATAATTAGCACACCAAAAAAAATAAAATAAATTTTATTATGAATATTTTATTAATTTTTATTACAGACGTCAAATTAATAATTATATGTTTTCTTATATCAGGGTTCTTATTTTGAGTTTAGAGATACCTTTACCTTTTATAGTGTTCAATAACAAGAGGAGTAGAAGGGAATAACTAAAAGAATTCAAATGTGTGCCATACAATTAAATAATAATAATAAAAGTACCTTTGAAAATTTTCATACAAATAAATAGATCCCTTAGAAATAAATGGTATCCTAAATTATATAGCCTTTGCACATAAAATTAACACAAGAAAGTCATACAAGTTTAGTTCAATTCATTTTCGTCTCAATAATTTGCCTCTATACGTTACTAAAACTATTAACTTTAATCATTTAATTAGCTCTTTAGCGAAAATTCCTTTCGTGGTTCTGCTTATATGACTGTCGATCAAAAAGGTCCGAACAACCGTTTCTATCTTCTTTTGGCTGCCAAACTCTCCTAGCTATGAATCTCCTGAGGAATAGTAATTTGTTTTCTTACTTATAAACTCTGCAAACTTTTGATACTGCCAATTCTACAACTCAGGATTCAAAAAGTAGCATTGTTTTAACTTTCATTTACACGATTTCTCACAAATTAAAATTACTATCGTCATTATATTTCTTCTGCTGGATTCGATGTTCTATTTCGGCTTCTAAACATTTCCTATAATCTCTAATCCCTTCCATAATTTCTTTTTAACTAATCAAACAGTTCGCTCTTTCCCATTCAAAACAAAATAAACCGACTTTCAAAATCAACTTTCAAATTCCATAATTGTGTGCAAAACAAACCAGACAAAAAGAAACTTTCTTTCTTTAATGACATGTTTTGTTGATAACAAAAATAAATCCCTAAAGAATCAGGTAAATAAATTTCACATGATGTTATTTCAATGAAACATACTATTCTTTTCATTGAGATTACTTAAAACTAATATCTTAAATATACTAATATACATAATTCTATAATTCAAAAAAGTCTACAGTACTTCACCCAAACACAAAATAAACCATTTACACACATGTCCAAAAGTTTGGAATACGTACAAATAATATATCTACGCCTATGGTGGTTTTAAAACTGTTGTTGATATTTATTCTAGAGCGTTTTTAAATGAAAATGATAAAAAAATTGAATCGTTTTTGTATCATTTTGGACACATTCAACTGATTAGCGTATTAACACATTAATTCAGTTTTTGGTTAAATTTAAATTGAGTCGTTTAAAATTGCCTAGAAACGTGGTATCTCATTTTGACAGTTTTAGAGTAACTGCTTTGTTACAACAGAGCTGTTAGTCAAAGTTTTTTTTTTTTTTTATTGGCTTTAGGGTAAATACCCACACAGCCAGACACAAATTTTTAAAAAACAGATACAGGGATTACACTCTTCTCGCCCAGGGGCCGATCAGGGCATTTTTATAAACGATAAAAGGTAGGCCTCGGACAGATAGGTATGCATACATTAAGGAAAGACATAAGGAATTAACAAAGGTGGTTATATTTGTATATTCGTTGTTCTGACGAAAGACAGCAAACAATCGTAAATTTCTTTTTTTTCTAAAGCAAGAAGATGCAGTATATTAAATGGGCTTTCAATGTTTAATTTTAAAAGTTTACTGAAAAGCTCATTAGATTGAGCTCTATATTTTAAACAATCAAAAAAGATGTGGTCAAGATCACCGATTTTATTACAGGCTTCGCAAAGATCACTCTCAAGTATTTTTATTTTAAATAAATGTGCTGGATAACATGCGTGACCAAACTTCATTCTGCTGATAGTAGTTATACTTTTTCGACTGTAGTCGTACTCATTGTACCAAGGTTTTCTCCTTAATTTGGTTTCAAGTCTGGTGTAACGTGTTGGATTTGTGAAGCTGTACTCTTGCCATAAATAGGACCATTTGTTCATCATTCTCTGTTTTGCTATGATTATTTGTTCATCTGTAGTTAATTCGTAATTTATTTGTTCCCCCATTACTATGCTTTCTTTGGCAATTTGATCTGCAATTTCATTGTTTGTTATTCCTGCGTGTGCTTTGACCCAGAAGAATTTTATATATTTATTCTGATCTTGTAATTGTTTAAGTATTGCTTGGATGCTAAAAATAATATCATTAGTGGTGTTTGAGTTTGATTTTAAAATTTTAAGAACGGAAAGTGAATCGGAAAAGATTATAGCATTCTGATCCTCTTCCTGATAAACATATTCTAGTGCTTTTAGAATTGCTATTGCCTCAGCTGTGAAAATAGATGTGTTTTTGTTTAACTTGTATTTTTTCTGTATACGTTTAGGTATTACGAAAGCGCAACCTGTACCATCGGTGTTTTTTGATCCATCAGTGTATATAGTGACGTAATTTGGATGTTCCTCTAAAATTTGATTTATGACTATACTATTAAATGATGCTAACTCCGAATAAAGTGGTATATTCACATCACAGGAAACAAGGTGATCAAAGTAGTCGGTCTCTAACTTTGTTTGTGGTTTTAAGGCCACGTTTCTTAATCCATCACAAATAGGAGGAGAGTGTTTATGAATCCAAAAAGGCTTAGTTAGGTCGTATTCGTTTAATTTATACATGCTGCTAATGAATGGTGAGTTTTTCTTTAGCGACTTAATAATCATTTTTTCAGCTAAAAATGATCTTCTCAGTTCTAATGGAGGTTCGATTGCTTCAGCTCTTAACGGTTCAACTGGTGTAGATTTCATTGCTCCCAGACATATTCTGAGTGATTTGTTTTGTATAATATCCAGCTTACGTAGATTTGTTTTATTGGCTGTTCCATAGAGTGTACAACCATAATCAATTATTGATCTTATGTAAGCTTTATAGAAGAGTAGAGCTGTTTGAGGTTCTGCACCCCACCAAGTTCGCATAATTGATTTTAAAAAGTTTAGCCCTTTATTGCATTTTGTCTCTATTTGTTCAATATGAAGTTTCCAGGTTAATTTTCTGTCTAATGTGATTCCCAAGTATTTGACATTGGTATCCACCGGAAATTCTATACCATCTATTGTAATTTTCTGCATCGGTTTCATGTTATGCCTGGTGAAGATTATAACTTTGGATTTTTCTGCGGAGATTTGAAGCCCTAAATCACTTATAGAGCTTAAAACAAGTTTCGTGCCTAAATTCAAACGATTAATGCATTCGTCGAGATGTTTGCTACGTGTATAAACAACAAAATCATCGGCATATTGTATAATAGTTGCTTTAGGTATAGATGTGTGTAAATTAGTAGTATATATATTAAAAAGTAATGGTGCAAGGACTGATCCTTGTGGCAGACCTAAATTTGCAGTTTGGTATTTTACTGGGCACCTATAATGTCCTCTGAGCCCTACTTGTCTGTTTATATATAATTTGCATATCGTGTTGGCAACTTCTTGAGGGATTTGTAATTGTATCATTTTTTCCCGTAAGATGAACCAGTTGACATTGTCGTAGGCACCTTTCACATCTAGAAGCATCGTTCCATTATACTCGTTTTCAGTTAAACCTATTTGTATGTCTGTAACTAGGTGTGTCACCGCATCTATGGTACCAAAACCTTTTTTAAAACCATATTGTGTAGTTGGCAGAGCGCCGGTTGTATTTAACCACCATTCCAATCGGTTTTTAATTATTCTTTCAAAAACCTTGAGTATACAGGGCATAAGTGCAATAGGTCTATATGAGTCACATAGGTGGGGGTCTTTGTTTGGTTTGTGTATTAGTATTACAATAGCCTTTTTTCATTCTTCTATTCTTTCTCCATTGATCCAGATATCATTTAGAATTTTGATTAGAAACATCTTGGTAGTCAAAGTTATATCGCGAATATTGTTTATGTTATACAGAGTGCTGCATAGAAAATTAAAAAAAAATACAAGATACAAATGACGTCAAGGATCATCCCAGAAGTGATTAAAGTCGATGTACAACAGCAGCACAAGACCAGCAGATACCATTGATAGCTCGTAGAAATCGTCTACAATCTACTGTAAGTGATATATCCAGAAAAAATTTCTAGGCTTTAAGAACTGAATATTTCACGGCAAACAATAACACGCAGACTAAATGCGGTAACTTAGTATCATAGAAGACCACTACGTGTTCCTAAGCTAACCTACCAACACAAATTAGTAAGGTTGCAATGGGCAAGAGAAATTGTGCATCATTGTTTTAACTGGAATAAAGTAATGTTCTCTGATGAGTCAAAAATTGGCTTGGTATCTAAGTCGCGAAGAACACTGGTTTTGGAGGGCCCTAGGATGACAAGCTCGACTAGAAACAGTCCAACCGCGTGTCCCATTTGAAGGTGGCAGTATTATGGTTTGGGGTGGCATTATGAGTGGTACACGGACGTCACTGCTGGTTCTGGAGAGAAGAGTCACTAGTGCTGTGTACATAGAGGAAGTTTTAAATCCTGGTACGTCTATCGAGGGGCAGTAGGTGATAAATGTGTGTTTATACATGACAACACACCTCCTCATCGAACAACAGCAGTACAACATTTTCTCAAAGAAGAAGGAATATCTACATTACAGTGACCCTCGAATTGCCCCGACATGAACGTTATTGAACATGATTGGGACATTCTCAAAACACGCATAAAGAAGCAAAACAATCCCCCTATTACAATTCGGAACTAAAATATCCTGCTCGTGAAGAATGGGAAAAAATTCCGCAAGCCCATCTCGACCAGTTAATCGGCAGCATGCAAAATCGTCTACAGACATGCATACAGATATATGGAGAAAATACTAATTATTCGTTTTATTAAAAATTATTTTTTATATACTATTTTATTTTTAAATGTAAGTTGTGCATTGTAAGTTTTCACTCCAAGAGAATAAATAATTTTTTTGAATATCGTTTATCTGGTTCTGAGATTTATTTAGTACTGTTGAGAATTGTATAACTATTCAGGAGAAATATTCCAATATTCCAAACTTTTGGACATATGTGTATCTATATGTAAAACTAACATAATTTTAGAAATTGTTTATCTTACATCATTTGTAGAATTATGAAAAACAAGCCGATGGAACAATAAAGTATACCTGTCAACATGGAGATAACGAATGCTATATTAATAGAATACACGCTTGTGTTATCGACCAAAAGCCAGTTCAATCAGATCTTATAAACTTTTTGCAGTGCTATTTACATCAGGCTAGCGTATATAACATTCCTGAAGAGCTGTTGGATATCGCAAAGGACGTAAGTTTTTATCAACTTTATTCTGATTATTATTCTTATTATTATGTTTTTTATATCTTATATTATTATTATTAGGTTAATGTTTGAATATTTTAATAGATAGTTTTTTTAACAATTTTATTTATCTGGACTCTCTTGGAGCTAGACTAAACAAACCCTTGCGATGCGAACTCATTTTTAAGTACTTATATGGGAGACGAAGTTATGTACCTATATAAAAAGCATCGCGTATATATTTTTAAGATTATTAAACTCGCTGTTATATGGAGCTGGACTTAATGACATTAAATATGCAATATAAAAAGAATCGGTAGGCTTTCGAACTCTGGTTATACCACAGAGTATTAAAAATATCATGGACTCATAGAAATGAAGACACAGAACTAACCACCACTATACAGACCAGAAATCTGTAATACCTAGGCCACGTGATGAGAGAACCAAAATATGAAAAATCATAATACAGGGAAAGATTCAAGGAAGAAGATCTGTTGGCCAAAGGCAGAACTCATGGTTGAAGAATCTACGTGATTGGTATCAATGCAGATCGATTGATTTGTTTAGAGCAGCGACTTCAAAAATAAAAATAGCCATTATGATTGCCAACCTCCGTAGGGAGACGCACTCTAAGAGAAGAAGAAGAATAAAAAATAAAAAGGGGGCATTAAAAAAAGGCAGTCGAAGGGCTTTTCCGAATTGAATATTAACACTTGCGTAGACAACGTGTTTAGAATAATTGAATCGGTTATTTCAGAAACAACATGCGTTAGAAAGTTTTGAGTTAGAGGTAATGGATTTTGACAAGAGCTATGAGTCATGCCGATGCAGTACACAAGTTTACCTGTTATTTACAAGGTCATAGCTCTTGTCAAAATTCATCACCTATAATCACAAAACGCTGTTTAAAGCGCTGTAGGAAAAATGCAGTCAATAATTTTCACAATAATATTTCACAATCCTGTACATTATGCATTACACATTTTTTTTGTAATTTTTTTTTCTTAAATCATTTTATGTTTAAGTCATATCTTTATCAAGTGTCAAAGTAAAAGCATTATTCATCATTAATCACATAACTAGTAGATTAATGCATAATCTCTTGAATAAATAATGTTTTTTCCTCTGGTGTGTAGTTCATTAGCATGCGTATATCTTCATTTTTTTTAATAGGTACTTTACCATTCTTTCCGCCGATAAAGGCAATGCCACCGTCATCTCTAACACTCATTCTTACATTAATAAACTCTCAAATCTCATTAATACTCCAGACTACAGACCAATTCCTAATAATCCAATAACCTATCTGGAGAAAACAACAAAAGCCATTATCAATAAAACCTCCCCTCCTCTTGATATAAAACAATCCCTAATTTCTCGTGAAAAGTCGTCCAGAATACATTTAATATACGATCTACCCAAAATTTACAAACACGATATTTCTTTATATCCCATTGTCAGTGCATAGAACTGCCCTACACAACCATTGGCCAAGTACTTGGCCATAACTCTACAACTTTTTGCCGAAAATGCTTCATCCTTCGTCAAAAATTCTTTTAATTTTATCGAACTTCTTAAACAATACCTAATCTCACCGTCAAACATTCTAATAAGTTTTGACATCGTTTTACTTTTTACAAACATTTCTATAGACGAAACTCTGTTGACGAATATATGTTGACGATATATTCGTCATTTGTCCCTATAGCAGGGATGCTTTAAACTTTTTTCAAATTCATCTGAATGGTATACATCCTAGTATCCAGTTTACGATGAAGGTGAAACTGATTCATCCCTACCGTTCCTTCACGCTATTATAAAGAAAGACTAATTCCAAGGTTTTTATCACTCTGTATATCGAAAACCCACACGTATCAATCGTTACTTGCATGCGAATGCTCATCATCCACCTTCACCCGTTTGCGATGAGTCAAGTAGCCTCACAGAGCTCTCTAGTTTAAAACAAGCCCTCATCCAGAACGGTTACCGCGAAAATCACATTAATAGCAGCATCCATAGACATTAATCTTCCACTAAATCTTAACCCAAAGACTCAGACAACTCATCATACGAAAGCTTTTCTTGCTCACGTCAAAAGTGTCACTGACATTCTTAAATCAAGAGGAATAAGGCAAATATTTACCCTCCAACAAAAACTTTTATCTGTTGTCCAATCAATTAAAGATAACGTTCCAAATGAACAACACGGAGTTTATGCACAATTTTGCACTGATATTGCCAGTGTGCTGCAGCGAGCTATTAAGAAGACATAAGGCGAGCTTTGGTCCTGATATGTCCTGATTGATGAGCAGCTTATACCTGCCTAGACCTCCTGCAGGAATAGACTTAGTGAAACCAGTAACCAATTTTTGATACTAGTATCAAATAAGATAGTATATTATTATCTTTCAAATAAATATTAATGATTTCTGCTATAATTACTCATTCATTGGAATTTATATTGTTGCTCAGTTATTGAGTAATTTTTACTGAGGGCAAGCGAGTGCTCGACGTTATGTAAAAAATCGCATTTTCCATTGCATTATTCGATATAATTTCCATGTTTTGTACAGTACAGTTTCAAGTACAGCATTTTTTCAAAATACTGTACTTGCTATCAAGTAATTCTAAACACTTTGGATATTATGTTATGTTATTGTGAAAATGAAAATAGTGAATAAGTTGAAATTGAATGTTTGAAAGTGATTAAATTTTAATATTATCATTTTCAATTAAGTACAGCACTCTTTATGACGTTCTAGTTATAATAATTATTTTTTAATAAATTTTTTACAGTGCTCTGGAGGTACTATTTCCTTTGATGACCTTAAAGTTTGTGTAGAAGGATCCCGTGCAGATGAACTTTTGTTATCATACTCCGAGAGGCAATCAGAATTGACTCCCAAGCTAGCATACGTACCACACATACGGTTTAATGGTGCTTATGATCCGGATTTAGAAAATGACGCAAACCAGGATTTTGTTGGTACTATTTGCAAATTATTAAAAGATAATAAACCCAATGTTTGTGAAGCTCAGGGTGGAGACTTCTGATCCAGAAATGGTTATTCTTAAACCGTATTCCATATGATTAAAAATCACATTTTATATAACAATAGTTTTAAATAAATAAATATTATTTAATTAATTTTTTTTTTTATATTTAAATTAATGTGTCTCGGCTGCAATGGCCATTGACACAAACAATATTGTGTACAATAATTGCAATAAGCACATGTTACTAATTGCTACAGTTAATCTATAAGCTTAGAACCAATGACTAAATAATACAACAGTTTTATCACTAAGTTTTAAGTTAAAGGTAAAGTACATGAAAAACATGTACATGAACAACTGAATGTCTTTCAAGAAACCAATTACGTTAAAGACTTGATCGGGTGAGTTTAAAACGTCTTTGATATTTGACTTAAGTTTATGTTGCACTCTGTGTTTTGCGTACCGGGGACACTCGATTGGGATATGTTTCACAGTTAATACACTTGAGCAGATTTGGCAATTGGGCTTCGGCTCGGATTTCATTAAGTATTCATGTGTGAATGGGGTGTGTCCCATTGGTAATCTTCGGATGACAACTTTTTCGTTTCTAGAGATTGTTGAAAAATAACTGAATTTATTTAATATTACCTAATATCTCTTATTTTTATATAACAATAATATTACAGATTTAGAATGAAGTAAACATATAGATGATTTAAACATCGCTTTGGTGATATAAACTCGAATAAAAGAATATAGTCAAAGAATATTAAAATTTTACACTCCATATCATCAAAAAAAAAATTGTATATAACAGATTGTAAAAGAATACAATAAAGAAATATGAAAATCTAATTTTATACTGATTCCATTATTATCATAACTAAAAAAATCTAAAGTAAAAATATATTAAACCATTTTACGATTTTAAAGTAAAAACATATTGTAATAGTCATATAATATAAGTAAAACTATCTATTAATGGCCTATACCAATTTCATGTAAATAGTGGTCTATACAAATATGAGAAAATATAATAGAGCAAGGGGTAAAAGCCAAAATCGGGGAGGATCAGGCAGGTTTCACGGCAGGAAGATCATGCACAGCCACACATACACACTGGAACAACTGTTGGAAAAGAGAAAAGCAAAAAATAAAAATATACATTTGGCATTTGTGGACTTGAGAAAGGCGTATGACTCATAGAAGCTACAAAAGCTCTGTATAAAGAAAATGAAGTGTCCATTAAAATTGTGAACAAGAATCATAGAAGACTTCACCACAACAAAAGGGCTCCTGCAGGGTTTTTCCACATCTCCAACCCTATTTAAAATATACTTAGAGAAAGCCTTAACTACATGGAAAAAAGAATGCGAAGGCATGAGAGTACCGGTATGAAACGAATACCTATATACGTTAAGCTTTGCAGACAATTAAGTAGTGATTGCACAAGACCAAAGAGACCTCAGTTACATGATGAAGAAACTACAAGAAGAATATACCAAGGCAGGCCTAGATAATAACCTCGCGAAAACAGAGTACCTATCTACAAGTGAAGAAGCCATAAAAGATCTACAGATTGACGACAACGTAACAATCAAACGAAAGGATGAATTTAAATATTTGGGTTTGTAATCACGAAAAAGGCAACAACAGGAGAAGAAATTAAGCAAAGATTAGGATCAAAGAAGACAGCAATCCGACAACTTAACTCAGGATGGTAGGATAGACACCTAAATATAAAGACAAAAACACAGATTTATAAAACATTAGTGCGAAGTATTATGACATATGGGGCTAAAAATTGGATTATAAACGAGAATGTAACGAAAGTGTAGCAACAGAGATGGAATGCCTGCGAAGATCCTGCAGAGTAACAAGAATGGATAGAGAAAGTGATGATGAACTAAAGCAAAGAACATTAATAGAAACAGACGTACTAACATACCATATAAAAAGAACAAAAACGACTAAAGTGGTATAATACATGTAAGAAAAACTAGCGACAGCAGATGGGTAACGAGAATAACCGAATGAAATCCCATAGGAAGGAAGAAACGAAGATGACCCCGAAGATCCTGGAGGAACGAAGTAGACGACGCCATGAGTAAGCCATGACTAAACGATGGAGAATGGGAAACCGAGAGAGATGCAAATGGTTGAGCGAGAGAAAGCAGTGAATACTGTAGAATTCCTGAATATATATATATATATATATATATATATATATATATAGTATATATATATATATATATATATATATATATATATATTATTGTTATGATGTATATGTTTCTGTATGAGCTATGAGTAAATTTGAATGATATATGTAAGTATAGGGTTTTTATCGCGGTTCTCAAAGAATTAGTTTGTAAGTACTTTTTTAAATTATCTTTATTATAACTATTATGAAACAAACATATCTATCTAATATAAGCAATATCAATTTAAAACAATCTATCTAAAATTTGAAATTCTTACAATTATTAAATTATTAACAAAATTTGGTACCTTTCTATCACTGAACGCCTAAAGTCTTCCACAATCAAAGTTATTATCACCACTCGATATCTTCTTACTCAGCCTTGGTTATCCAACAATTTTAATATGTTTCTTCTTAATTATCTCCACTCACCATATAAATATATAAATTTAAATCCTTGTAATTTCCATATAATGTACTTTCAAATATACTGGATCTTGTGGTTGTACTATTGAATGCTTACTTCAATGAATTAACTTCATACTGTCACTATATTACTGTAGTAATAATTAATCTCCAACTGTATTTGACTTAATTAATTCATTTAACTTAATCAATGCCTTCTTCTAGCTAATAATCTCTTCATAACCACATAAATTCTTCTTAATTCTTCTTTGTAATTAATAATCACATGTAACTGACTTAGATAATCCTTGAATTCTTAAATTCTTCAAACTAATTCACTTAATAATTGACTGTAACTTCTTGTAACTTAACTCACTTTACGAATCAACTCTAACTTACTTAATAATAATCTGTACTTGACTTAATAATCCCGTGTAACTTAATGCCTTGAATTCTTCTAACTAACTCACTCCCTAACTAACTAATCTAATAATAATCTGTACTTGATTCCTCTAACTAACTTCTTAATAATCTTGTAACTGATTCTAATTTCTTCTAACTCACACTAACTCCTGCTCCAAATTACATGGTATTTATATATTTTTTCCTGGTTCCAGAATAATCTAGCAATAAATAAGGTTCGAATCGTTCTATTTTTTCTATCTGAACATTCTGGAATAAATGGAATGGTTTTTGTTTATGTGATGGACTATGCAAATAGTCCTGTTGACGTTTCTAGAACTTTCTTTGGTCTACATGTACAATTTAACTGCTTTAGGCTCTCCAGATCAGAATTACACTATTATATGTAACTTAAACATTTATATGAAATATATTATCACTATTTTCAACTGTAATTATATTTTAAATTAACATTACAAATAAATAAACCCCTTTTGACTTTTGACACTACAGTGTATATCTGGTTGCATATACATATGGCTGACTTATATATATATATATATATATATATATATTTATAATTATTAAAAAAAACTTTTAACATTTATTATATGCTAGATTCTTAAAAATACCCTCATATAATTATTTTTTAATAATATTATCTAGTATATAACTTATAAATTTTGTCTTTAATTACTATTTAAATAAATTTATTAATTAACACTGTATATCTGGTTGTATATACACATGCTGACTTAAATATATTTCTATGCTAATTTATTGTATTTCTGTTCTCATTACAATATATATTATATATATATTATTATATATATATATATATATAATATATATATATATATATATATATATTGTTATAAATGTGTTTGTTGTTTGTATGAGCAATGAGTAAATTTGAATGATATTTGTAAGTATAGGGTTTTTTATCGCGGTTCTCAAAGAATTAGTTTGTAAGTACTTTTTAAATTATCTTTATTATAACTATTATGAAACAAACCTATCTATCTAATATAAGCAATATCAATTTAAAACAATCTATCTAAAATTTGAAATTCTTACAATTATTAAATTATTAACAAAATTTGGTACCCTTCTTTCACTGAACGCCTAAAGTTTTTCCAAAATTAAAGTTATTATCACCACTCGATATCTTCTTACTAAGCCTTGGTTATCCAACTATGTTAATATGCTTCCTTCTTAATTATCTCCACTCACCATATAAATATATATTTAACTCCTTGTAATTTCCATATACTTAATGTACTTTGAAATATACTGGATCTTGTGGTTGTATTATTGAATGCTTATTTCAATGAATTAACTTCAAAACTGTCACTATATTACTGTAGTAATAATTAATCTCCAACTGTATTTAACTTAATAATTCATTTAACTTAATCAATGCCTTCTTCTAGCATTGAATAATCTCTTCATAACCTCATAAATAACTGACTTAATAATCCTTAAATTGTTATAACTAACTCCTCAATAATAATCTTGTAACTGATTTAATATCTTCTAACTAACTCACTTAACTCAATTAATAATCTTCTTGTAACTAAATTCTTGAATTATAACTTTACTAACTGATAACTGATAACTGAACTGGTAACTGAACTTAACTGAACTGAACTCATAACCTAACTGACTGACTAAACTCTAACTCATACTACTGCTGACTAACTCTAACTCATCACTGACTGCTGACTCCCTCAATTACATGGCTTTTATATCCTTTCATTGTTTCCAGAATATTCTCAGCAATAAATCATGTTCGAATCCTTCTATTTGTTATATATGAACAATCTGAATGATTTCCTTGCCTGTATGTACTATGTATACAGTTCCCATTGACATTTCTAGAGTTTTCTATCTACACTTTACTTGACTTTAGGCTCTCCAGATCAGAACTACACTATTATTTGTAACTTAAACATTTATATGAACTATATTTTTACAATTTTACATCCACAATTATATTCTAAATTAACATTCCAAAAATAAATAACTTTTTGACTTTGACACTACAGTGTATGTTTGGTTGCATAGCACATGGCTGAATTAAACATATTAAATATTAAATAAAATATACAAAAAACTTCTTAAACTTAATTCTTATGCTA